AAGGGGATCTCCAGTGGCCTACTAATGGGCTTTGGGTCTCCACTCCGCACTCCCCCCATCATTCACTATGGTAAGATTTTTTGTTCTGATGATTCGGGTGCTTTTCAAGACGTGCTGGTGTTGGACTGAGGCGAATGCACGGGAAAGCATGGGTGAGGGCGGGTTCGCAAGGAATCGGGGGCATCTGGAGCGTCACCAGGGCCGGGCACCCGTGCAGATGGGCTCCCACATCTACCTTGGGTGTGTCCGCCCTCGTTCTCTCTGGGCCTGGGGGTTCTGCCGAGGAGCGCTAGGTCCTGAGAAAGAAGTGGGGCTCCAGAACAAAGGATGGGTGATGGGGAAGAGAGGAGACGTAGAGCACAGGAAAACCGAGCTCCTGAGACCCCTCGGGGTGGGTTCGAACTGCCAACCTTTCAGGTGGTCGTCAAACATGCCACTGTTTGCACACCACCCAGGGAGGGATTCCTTGCGTTGAGGACCCTCCGAAGCCAGAGCCATGGATCGTCCTGACTCTGCCTCCCAGCTTCCCTGCAGGGCCGAGTAGAACGGCCCTCTAGGATTTCCCAGACTGGAAATCTTTCCAGGAGCCAGACCGCGTATCTTTCTCCCACGGTCTGCACCAGTGACCTTGAGGTTAGCCCCACGCTGAACCTGCTGTGCTATCTGGCCTGATTAAGTCAAGGCAAACCCTGGAGCCAAACCCACTGCCCTCCAGTCCATTCCCATGCATAGAAATCTCCTCTTGAGTCTCCCAGACTGGCATTCACGCAGGGAGCGGATGCAGAGCGACCAGTGAGTGTGAAGCACCCATTCTGCACTTTGCAGGGCAACATGTAACCCATAGCACAACCAGGGCTCCTTACAGTTGGGGAGAGGGGGTGGGAAATCAGGGCAGAAACACCCTGTGTGGGAAGAACTGAGCAGACATCACATTGGATGGATGGCACCGAGGTGGGGAAAACGGTTCCCCTGGCTGGCCACTGCTTCTCTCTCTGGCTTGTGCCTGGGCCGCTGAGACAGAGTCCCACCCACCCCCTTTCCTCTGGTCTCTTCCCAGATGATCAGCACCAATGACTCCCCCCCAGTCTCCCAAACGTGGGCTCAGCGTGAATTCCTGCTCCCCGGCCGGCCCTGGGAGTTGCCTGGCTTCACTCGGCAAGCCTACCACCAGCTGGCCCTGAAGCAACCGCCCTGCACCGACAGCAAATTGCAGGTCCTTCGCCGCCAGATCTACCCCGCGGAGGAAGCCACCCAGCACTCCTGGGGCTTCCACACGTGGCTTGACGTGGGGCGCCTGCCCGCCGCCGTGCCCATCCGGCCGGACGTGCCCTACGACAGCAATGTCTGGCGCTGGCTGACCAACGCTGGAGCCCCCCGCCCGCACCCAGCAGGGCCCCTCATCCCCCCGCCCTCCAGGTTGGGCAAGAACAACTTCCTGACCTTCCTCGGCTGCAGCCCCATCTTCGAGGACGCCAAGAGGAGGACCCAGGTGATCCGCAGCACGGTGAAGGGGCTGAGAGAGGCGGAGAAACTCAAGCTGCGGAGCGAGGCCAGGGCACCTCCGCTGGACGCCCGTGGCAACATCCTGCCCCCAAAGAACTTCAAGAAGTAAGACCAACTCCTTCCTCAGGGTACTCACCCCTCGGTGACCCTTGTGTCCAGGTGACCCCTCCCTCTCGCTGACTCCTCTCTCTGATGTCGAGCCCAGTACTCGAACCTTCCCACCCCGGGTTATCCAAAATCCTTACTCTCTTTTTTATATTTTCCTGATGCTTAATGAATAAACTAAGGAAGTTCGGCTTCCACTGGCTAGATAGAGTGTGAGGATGCCAGTCCCTGCCCTCCAGGAACTGACGAACGAACAGCGTAGCAGACCCGTGGGTGCAAGGCTCCATGTGCCAGGGTCCTGAGCAGATATGTGAGTCACTCATGAATGGGCAGCGCTGAGGTCCAAAGGGCTGGTGATTTAACAAGTTGTTTTGTTTGTCCATCCTGGCTCCCCTCGTGGATCCAATGGAGGTGATCAGTACCGAGCTCCCTGGGTGAGGGGGAATTCCTTAGTGAAGGTGTAAACACGTTGCACCAAACAGGAGGCCTTATTTCAGACGTTGGATGAGGCAGAGGGAACAGATGCCTGTGCCTGGAGTGATCCCCTTGGGGAGGCTTCCTGGGGAAACTGGGATTAAGCTGGGATGGGTAGAAAGCCTTGGGAGAGGCAGGCACACTCCAGGCAGGACTGCTCCGTGGGGGCAGAGATGGGCAGGTGAAAGGTGTAAGGACTCCTCCCCGCCCCACATGGAAACTCACAGTTCCCTCCGAGCAGGCGGAGACCAGCCTGACTCCTCAAACTCCAGTCCCCAAAGCAGAGACTGAAACGCTGAAGGTTGGAAGGGGAGGGGTGGTGGAGAGTTTTATAATCTTAAAAAAAAAACAACCAAACATTACAGGTGGTAAGGGTTGGTGGTTTTGATAAGAATTTCACTTCTCTTATGTCTCTTCAATGAAGGCGATTGATTGGTAACAGGCGTTAGAGACTGGGCATGTGCTAGAGATTGGGCATCCAAAGATGACTGAGGCTTGGTTTGCGCCTCAGAAAATTCAGTCTAATGTTATGATAATTTACTATGCGCCGGATGCTATTCTCAACATGTTAGCAGTGTATTTTAATCCTCCCACAGCCCTGTAAAGAACCCTGGTGGCACAGAGGTTAAGTGCTGGGCTGCCAACCGAAGGGTCAATGGTTCAAACCCACCCTGCAGCTCAGAGAAGTGAGACCTGGCGATCTGATCCCATAAGGCTTTACTGTCGACCCTCCCTCTGGGCAGAAGCCACGAGGACTCACCCCAGCCCATAGATGGGAGATCTGAAACACGGAGAGGTCAATCAGGTCCACGCAGCCAGTAAGTGGCAGGTCTGGAATGTGAGTCAGGCTTTCTACTCCGGAGCTCAGGATACTCCGGGAGTGTCCATCTCAGAAACTCACGGGAGCTGTCCAGTGGAGGGCAGCTGCGAGGTGGAAGGGACTCAAGGCAGTGAGTTGGTTGGGTAAAGGGCTGCAAGAATGGGTTATGCAGCTCTGGAACAGCTGGTGTACCCATTTTGAACATCAGGGAACCTGAGGACGAGCGATGTATGAGGATGAGGCCTGGGGCAGCTTCAAGATATTTGCGAGCTCATCAGGGCAAGAGACCCCTCGGCCCTCCGTGCTGGCAATGCATTAGCATAGGCTTGACGCTCTTTGTGATTAAATGCTGCTGTGTGAGTGAGAAGCCCTGGTGGCACCGTGGTTAAGTGCTCAGCTGCCCGCCCAAAGGTCTACCGTTTGAACTCACCACGCTACTCCTCCGAGAAAGCTTTCGTAAGGATGGCAGCCTCGGGAACCCACAGGGGCTGTCCTCTGTCCTGGAGGAACTGGCCGCTGCCAGTGGGTTTGTTTGAAATGTGATTGACCTGGGGAACGCTCTGAGCATTATTTTCCAAATGCTTCTTTGCTGTGGTTCTCATGGACAGCCAGGGCTAAGAACTTCTGTAACCACAGGCAGTGGGTGGGGCTGTCTGCTGAACCAGGTGCTAAGCATGCCGGACCAGAGGCGGTTTGTTCCACATAACCATCTGTTTCCTACTGTTCAACCGATAGGCCCGAGGGGCAGGAACAGTTAAGTAGTAGCCGCTAACCCTATAGCTCGCTGGTTTGAACCCACCCAGAGGTGCCTTGGAACAAAGGCACGCATGAGGTCCGCGTGAGTTGGAGTTGACTCGATGGCAATCGGTTCTGCTTGCTTTGCTTTACGGATCAGAGGAACCCATCTGAGAAAGGGCAGACTGAGCCCCGTCAGTCAGAACTGGAGGGGCTCTTGGAGAGCGTCACCGAGTTTGTTAGTTGACAAGGAGGACTGTTTGCCCTGAGTGCATTGTTGTTCCCGCTGGTGCTGCATTAAAGGAGAGCTTAGGATTTAAAGGCTGGTTTGAATCTGGGTAAGTTGGGGGGAAGAATAGCATGTGCCAAAAGAATGGAAGATTTGCCATCTTAACATCATGTCAGCACCCTAAAGCCAAAACACACACTCATAGGGCACAGGTCCATCCACTTGATGTACTCATTTGTCACAAGACAACATCCAGTTAGAGAGAGACTAAAGGTGTTCTTACCACTTGATTGTTCACTACTTTGGAAGGCAACAGAGTCAGCCTTTTCCTCGCCAGCCCTTTCCCAACAGAGAGGAGCCTGGACCTCTCCCTGACCTCTGTTCTGTCCAAACCTCTTGCTCCCAACAGGTATCAGCACATATCAGCCGGTGGAAGGTTTGAACCCCACGGCCTCCCTCTTCTGCCCAACCCCCTTCCCAATGACCTTGCTAGGAGCTGGCCTTGCCCCAACCCTCTGCCACATTACCAAGAGAAGAAGCTCGGCCTGGCCTTGCTGCCCAGTGCTCCCCTGAGCCAGGACCTCGTGAGGAACTACCAGACCCTGATCCAGGACCGCATTGCCTTGCCCCTCTACTACTTCTCCACGGTGAGCCGGGACGGAGCTTCCACCAGGAAGAGGAGGTCTGCGTGCGTGTAGAAGAGCCTCCAGGTGGGGGGACCCTGGGGAGCTCTGCGAGCCCCAGACTCCAGAGATCCCAACCAAATACCCCTTGACTTCTGGGCAGCTCTGTGCCCCAGAGCCTTTCCATGTCCCCTCAGCCTCAAGCCACCTCTGTATCCCAGGCCCCTGGAGACTCCCCTGAAGAGGCACTGCTTGTTTTGTGTCTTCCTTGGAGGACGAGCTCAGAGAGGGGGAGGATGAAGGGAGGGGTGCCAGTTCTTAGGGATAGAACTTGGAAGAGTCAGGAAGAAGGGTGTGTGTGTGTGTGTGTGTGTGTGTGTGTGTGCG